CTGTCGTTTAAGAGGGGAGTCAGACTAGAGTCAGACTGTGTGTTCAAATCCTGACTCTGTTCATCTCGGGATCCGGGACGATTTACTTACACTCCCTGTGCCTATTCCTCATCTGTAAAGTGGGGGGATATAATAGTACCTGCTATATACCTCCTAGAGCCATTACAAAAATTAAATTAGATGGTCTCCGGGAAGCGCTCAGCAGAACAGCTCGTAAAAAATAAAGGTGTAATAAATATTAGCTATTATAACTGTCTAATATCTTTTCCAGCCTTAACGTTGTAATACTCTAGGTTTCATTTTCTGCCTTTTTTTTTTTTAATGGTAACATTTCTCCCCGTGAAATTCACACCTCAGGCAAAAATCAAGGGCAGACATGAGTACTGAGAATAACAAGATAATGATTATTAAAGACTTAAAGAGTGATTTAAAGAGTCAGGAGGAAAAGAAAAAAAGGCAAACGGATTCTAAGAGGAGTCATTTAAGGAGAAGTGATTAATGCTTCCAAGGCCCTGCTAATGAGAAAAAAAACACCTGTGAAATATCCTGCTAAGCACATTTAAAATACCATGTTCTTACTCTCAGGAATCGCCTTTCTCGGGATCCCTGGGTGGCGCAGCGGTTTGGCGCCTGCCTTTGGCCCAGGGCGCGATCCTGGAGACCCGGGATCGAGTCCCACGTCGGGCTCCCTGCATGGAGCCTGCTTCTCCCTCTGCCTATGTCTCTGCCTCTCTCTCTTTCTCTCTGTGACTATCATAAATAATAATAAATAAAAATTAAAAAAATAAAAAAAAAAGGAATCGCCTTTCTCAGTGCACAATTATATATTGTAGAGATGCATCATGGCAGCATTAGAGCAGATACACATTTCAGTGCACACACAACACACGCATAAATGTATGCACAGCTGCCCGTGAAAACATGTTACATCTGTACCAGGTACAATGGGACTCCGGTCAACTGACTGATGGCTACTTTTTCCCTTTCCTTTTTATTTTTTTTTTTAAGATTTTATTTATTTATTTGAGAGACAGACACAAGGGAGGGGAGAGGGGCAGAGGAAGAGGGACAAGCAGACCCCCCTCTGAGCAGGGAACCTGACACAGGGCTCAATCCCAGGACCCCAAGATCATGACCTGAGCCAAAGGCAAAGCCTTAACCGACTAAGCCACCCAGGGTCCCTGCTAGGTTTCCCTTTTCCAGATACTTCTTCAAAGCATCTCAGAGCTATGTTGAAGAATAAATACAAAAGCTGTATTGAAGGATGCCAAGCACTATGGCATGTTTATCCAGACATGTCGTATGTGTGTAATAAAAGTTCTCCAAGGATCTGCTCAGGGCTAATAGTAGGGATCCTGGGGAAGCCTGGGGGAGAGATAGGATGATTTTCTTCTTCTTTTTTTTTTTTTTTAAATTTAAATACACCTGTATTTTACACATTGCACTCTGTGACTACAGAGGATACATCAAAATGTTCTAGCCCGGGATTTCTTGGTGTGGCACCACTGACACTTTGGTCCGGATAATTCTTTGTGGTGGGGGACATCCTGGGTATTGGAGGGTGTTTAGTTATGCATCCCTGGCCCTTAGCCACTAGACATCAGTTCTGACAACCAAACATGCCAAATGTCCCCTGGAGGGGTAAAAATCACCCCCCAGTTGAGAACTACTGTCCTAGCCAACAGAGTGGCTATATTCAATATAAATTCTCCTGTAATTACTATAAGTAGTTATTACAGCTCAGGCCACCGAGGTTCTACTGCCTTTTTCCCTAGTTTGGGAAAGGATTTGTAAGAAACAACTACTAGTCACCAAGGCCACTTGGTGTTTGAGCCTCCACTGTCTCCCACATCATGCTTTTACTTTTCTCCATGTATTTGTGACCTTCCAGAGGTTTCTCTAATGAACTAGCTCAAGGTCAATTTCAGAAAAGTAAATGCTATTTTCTAAAAAAGTAGAAGGAGGAGATGACGACAATACATATAGATAATTTTTAGAAACTCCTTTTTTTTTTTTTACCAACTACATTGAAAATCAGAAGTAAACTATTTTATTTTAGATCTCCATACTTAAATGACCATAATACACTGGACTGATGATTTCATTCTAATTGTTCATGTTTCATGCTCCCAAAATTCATTCGTACATGTCCCAAAGACTATTACCCTCTGCTTTTGCTTGTTTGTTTCCTTCCTTATTTCACTTTGGTTTTTGCTATGCAAACCTTATGAAAGGTTTTTTGGCCCTAAAAGAACTAGAAGAGGAGACACAGATGCCTAGTCAAAAGCAGAAAGACAACACAGAACAGAGTTCTTCATATTTTGCATCTATGGAACCCCTCCTAGAATGTTTAAAGATTAAGTACTCCCTCACTCCTTTTAAAATTGACATTTAAAGATGTTTTCATCTTGAGTTTAAAGAGTTGCAAAAGATGTCATATCTGGTATATAAATATTGATTTCTTTAAATAAAACTGTTTCATTGGTCAATTAAATGTATCCACTGGGATCTAAATAGCATAGGGATTTTTATTCCCTGCCTCTATTATCCATTTAAAAATATATATAAACAAGCTGTATAGGGGCGTCCAGATGGCTCAGTCGGTTAAGTGTCTGCCTTCAGCTCAGGTCATGATCTCAGGGTCCTGGGCCTAAGCCCTGCATCAGCTCCCTGCTCAGTAGGAAGTCTGCTTCTCCCTCTGCCTCTGCCCCTCCCACCCACTCGTGCTCTTTCTTTCTCTCTCAAAAAAATAAATAAAATTCTAAAAACAAAAAGCAACTAAGCCATATTGTTCTCTCTATATTTCTCTGCTTGTAGGCTATATTCTAAAACACACAAAAATGCACAAGCAACCCCTTGTGCAAAAGTCCAAAAACATCATTCCTTTCTCTCCTAGACTTGTATTTCAATTCCATTTCCACACAGAATTTTATCCTAAAGCAACTTATATTTTATACTAGAAAGTCTATTATTGATTTCTTTGCAATATAATTTAATTTTTAGGAAAATCCATGTGGGCCTAGGGCCCTAATTGCATAAGTAACAATTTCCTGGATTGAGTGACCATTACAGAATAGATTTCTAACAACAAAAATATAATACATTGTTTTATGATTATTACACATTAAAAAGTAAAATATTCTTGGAAATGCATATTTTCATGGATGAGGCCTTTTCCCTGTTCTTTTCAATTCATTCATATATCCATGGACAAATATTAAGTGGTCATCGCTAGAATCAGACAGATCTGGGAATTAATTTTATTTCTATTTTTCTTTTCTTTCTTTTTTTTTTTTCTTTTTTAAATGTAAGCAAACTAAAAGTGTCCACATAGAGGATGGGAAAAAATAGATACTTTGTTACAACACTGTCATTTTATCCTCTGAATTTTATCTAAATTACAGGCCCCAAACCCCAGAGTGGTCCATCATGGAAAACCCAACGTTTAAGGATCCCTCTGCTAACAATATGATTAGATCCACAGTCAAAGGACAAGACTGCCTGAACCACTAAACATTTATGACCAGTGATGAGAGGCTTCACTTTTTCTGCACCAGCACCAACATCCCAAGGGTCTCCCTTACACATGGACATTTTTGCCACCCAGAGACAAGGTAATAAGGCAAGCGTATGCCTTTCTTTTGTAAAGCAGGAGAGGGCAAATGTGTAAGGGAGTGTGAGAAAGGAGAACCGGTAGCCAGGGGCATCCTCAGGCAGAGTGGTTTTAGGAAAGAGAGCCTGTGAACACTGAGGACCTAGAAACTGACTTTGTGAAAAGCATCCGTGCCCCCTGTGCACCACCTGCGAGGCCCCTGCATGCTCTGGAAGGTATGTGGACCCTGGTCTTATGGCTACTGACTTAGATGACCTCTGGGAGACCCCAAACCATAGGACTGTAAACACAGGACAGAGGAGTCAAATCCTGATCAACCGAGACAGAAAACCATGTATTACATGACTTTTGGTGTGACGGACAGAATTGGAATACACAGCACCACCGTGGTACATTCACGCCCAAAGACAGGCTCAGAGATCACCAAACCGCATGATCTAATGCCCAGCTCATAGGAGATCGGGGGACTGGGGAAAAAGGTTTATAGCCCCCCAAGGAAGCCATCAGCCAAATTCACAATGTGGAATACTCTATGGGTATAAACAAGCCAATTTCTCCAACAAATTACTGAAGCAGGGGGAAAAAATGGGATTGTTCAAGAATAAAAGACAATGAAGAGATAGAACAAAAAATTCAACATGAATATCTTGTTCGGATGCCCATTCTAACAAAACAATCTTCAATGACCCCTTTGGGAAAAAAAAAATGGAGGAAATCTGAATGTGGACTGGGTGTTAGGTTACAATGAGGAATTGCTAATTTGGGTAAGTGCGATAAGATGATTATGTTGTAAAAAAAAAAAAAAAAACGGCATTCAGTTAGGGATGTGGAGGGTTGAACTTGCAGGTGAAATTACATGATGTCTTGGATTTGGTTTTACAAAATATTCCAACCTCTCAGGAAGGTTGGGGGAGGTCAGAAAAAAATGAGATTAGCAAGTCAGAAGAAATGAAATTAGCAAGTCAGTAATGCTTGAAGCTGAATGATGGCTACTGGGGATTCTCTCTACTTTTTTTAAATGTTCTCTCTACATGTTTTACATGTTTTTTTACATGTCAATAATAAAAGGGCTTCTCAGAAGAAGGGAAAGAGAATATTTAATTAGCACCAAGGAGAACCTGAGTGAGGCCCTTCCTCAATACCATCTTATTTCACAAGCCCTGAGACAGCTGCCCAACCAGCAAGCCTCTCTTACAGTCTCAGAGGCAGGGGCATTCAATAAGCTGGGCAATATGTAGGGACAGAGATAAGAAGGGGCTATTAGCACCTGGAGACCACAGAGATGCACCTAGGTTGCATGGGGAGAGCCTGGAAATAACCCCCTTGGCAGAGAAATATCAGAATACACGCATCTCTATTTACATCGCTCCTACCACATGTTACTTACCCCTGCAGCAAAGCCAAGACTTCCATCCAAGATCCGCCTCTGAAAATATAAACAAGATGTTTCAGATTCTAAGGGATGTTTCTGGAGATGAGAGGAAACCATAAGACCTCAGAGAGCTGCATGAATAAAGACTGGCCCATGCCCGAGTTTGCCAACCTGGCTGTAGGCCTGGATCAGAGCCTTTATGAAAACAGGCCAAGAACCAAGGGGGAAAAATAACTTGTTCGAACCATCCATATCCATCCTACAGCCAACCAGAATGTTCTTTCAATGGCACTTGGCTTCCACTGGCCCATGTGTTGCCTTTTGCCTGGCTCGCCTGTGACTTCTAACTATAAACTCTTAGTAAATAGCTGGCCTGAAAGATGGGAGTTGAAGTGTTTGTGAGAACCATGTGAACCAACCCAAACTCCCACACTGCAAGTAAATGGAACAAACCACACTGGAAAACCAACTGGCAGCATTCATTGGAAGTGAACGTAAGCGTACCCTGTGCCACTCCTGAGTAGTGAAATCATCACCCACCAGGAATGCATACTTGGATTCACCAAACACTTGCACAAGAAAGCTCTCAGCAGCAGTACCTGAGCGAGCCAAAGCTAGAAACTACCCGAATGCCCACCAACAGTAGAATGGATACATCAATTAGGAGGTATTCATACCACAGAATACCACGTGGCAATGAGAGCACACACAATATATGTAGGAATGAAAGCCCATAATCAGGCAGGGGCAAGGATAAACTGGAAAATAAACAGAGTGGAATCAGCCAGACACAGAAGAGCACTTACTATATGATTATTCCATTTATATGATGTAAAAAAAAAAACAGAGAAAACTAACCTCTGCTGTCAGAGACCAGGGAGAGGGACTGCCTTGCAGTGGAGTTTTAGGGTGGGGGACAGGGACTAGAAAGGACCCTGAAAGACTGCTGGGGGGTGGGGATTGGAGGGGGTGGTGATACTGTCCTACTTCTTTTTTTTTTTTTTTTTTTTTGTCCTACTTCTTGATCTGAGTATGAGTTTCATAGACGGCCTTGAAAAACCATCAAGCCATAAAATATGCACTTTTCTATATGCATTTTATATTTCAATTCAAAAATACTTGTTTGACTTTGCAGTCTAAGATAGGGGTATGATCTATAGCCACACGAACATGTTACAGGCATGCTGAGCTGTGGATTGCTCTGACCCTCAAGACTCCCAGTAAAGCTGAGCAGCTAGTACCAGTGGCTCAGCCCTCTCCCATCTCTGAGGAGCTGCGAGCTGGATGGAAGGTTTTGACGCCAGGCAGGCACACAAATGACATTCTTCTGTAGGCACGCCATGACATAAGCAAAGTTGGACTAATCAAATAATTTAATTAAACCAGACAGATCTAATAAAGAAGTCAGGTAAAATTTTTCCACTAGCATTCATCTGGATCCTGAAAGGAGAAAAATTAGACTTTTTTAATGTCACTAAAGCCTTTATTCCACTTTTAGACATTTATTTCAAGGAACTAATCAGATATATGCTCAAAGGTTTATGTTCATCATAAAGGTATTCCTAAAAAAAAAAAAAATCAAGAAAAAAGGATATAACTTAGTTGTCTAACAGTTGAGGGATGGCTAAAGTTTAATGCATCCTTACAGCAGAATATGACAGTCAGTTAAGTAACCAAAGTGATCAAAATAATCAAAAAAACCATTTAGGGATTTAGGGGAACACTTATATCAAGTGAGGAAAAGTAGTTATAAGACATTACATACAATTTGATCCCTACCTTGTAAAGAAATAGATATGCATACATTTGTGTATACTCAAATACAACTGAACAAATAGGTTCAGGGTTTGTTTTTTGTTTTTTGTTTTTTGTTTTCTGAGAAGTGGGATCAGAAACTTTTTATTATTATTTACTGTTTATAGCAGCAATGTCCATAATAGCCAAACTATGGAACAAGCCCATATGTCTATCAACAGATGAATGGACAAAGAAGATGAGTGTGTGTGTGTGTGTGTATATGTGTGTGTACATACATATGTATATACATATATAGAGAGAAAGATGAATACAGGTAGACGAATATGGTATATAAATCAGTATATATATACATACATACACACACACTATGAAATATCACTCAGCCACAAAAAAGAATAAAATCTTGCCATTTGCAACAATGTGGGTGGAACTACAGGGTATCATGCTAAGTGAAATAAGTCAAAGAAAGACAAATATTGTAGGATTTCACTCATATGTGGAATCTAAGAAACAAAACATGAACAGAGGAGAGGGAAGAAAAAATAAAATAAGATGAAAATTGAAAGGGAGGCACAGCTAAAAGACTCTTAACTCTAGGAAAAACTGAGGGTTGCTGGAGGGGAGGATGGGGTAGCTGGGTGATGGGCATTGAGGAGGGCACACGATGTAATGAGCACTGGGTTTTATATGCCATTGAAGGATCACTAAATTCTACCTCTGAAACTAATTTTTAAAAATCAGTAAATTTTTAAAAAATTGAAGAAGAGGGCAGCCCGGGTGGCTCAGCGGTTTAGCGCTGCCTTCTGCCCAGGGCATGATCCTGGAGACCCAGGATCGAGTCCCACATTGGGCTCCCTGCATGGAGACAGCTTCTCCCTTTGCCTGTGTCTCTGCTTCTCTCTCTCTCTCTCTCGTGAATAAATAAAATCTTTAAAAAAATTAAAAAATTAAAAAATTGAAGAAGACACTTTTTTATTATTTCTTTAGCTTTTCCATCCTTTACAAGCTTCCTACAATTAAAATATATTTTAAAGCAAGAACACAAATTTTGAGTGAAGCCACTTTTGAGAGCGGCAGCCGAGGGCAGAGTCCGTGTGTCTACTACCCCAAGTGATTGGCGCAGCAGCCCCCACCTCAGCCGAATGAAAAGTGAGGTGTGCTCAGGGCGCCAGAGCACATCTCTGTGGACTCCTGTCTTGGGCCACCTCTGTCTCCCAATGCCGAGCCTCTTCCCACCCCTCAGGCACACTTCCTATGCAGAAAGGGTCAACGCAGGCCCACGCCAGCTACCTTGGCTGGTCCCTGGCCGGCTTATGGAGACTCAGAACTTGAACCTCTCCCTCCATTCCCTGGCAGGGGTGGGGCTGTGTGTCTACACCGTTTTCCAAACAAGGTGCGGGACACCTGCTTTTCCTCTCCCAGGTCTCGAATTGTTCAGCAGCAGAGAGGGCCTCCAGGACCAGCCCCCAGTAGAATCCTTAAGGCTCTGAAGGTTGCCCCAGGCTGCCGTCAGGTCACACCTGTGTTACTGCATTTTTGTGACTGGGGGGAGGGGAACTGTCTGTGTGCCCCTCACAGGAGGGAGGGAGCACCTGCAGCCTGTGCACACATTTCCCCAGACTCCGCCTGTATCTTTCTCCCACTGATCCTTTCAATGGGAAACCTCAGCCAGGAGGACAACTAGAAGCTGAGTGGCATGGGTCCTTCTGGCAAATCACCAAATGTGGTGGTGATGGTGGGCTGGGGGACTATGCCTCCCCGCAGAAGCTTTCAGCAAGTTCTCCTGCTGATCTCGGTGGTTACACCAATACGAGACAAATGAGGGGCTCTAAGCTCCAAAGGGGATGAGGGCGCCTCTGTGAAGAAGGGAAGGCCCCTCTTCCCTCCCGAAGAGCCCCCAAAGCGTTGGCCAGGGCCACATGGGGCTTGGGGGCACCCCCTCCGCAGGGCACCCCACCCCAGTGTGGCTCAGGCCTCATCTCAGTGCAAAACAACTGGGGAAGATAAAACCATGGGCCGCTCTTCCCCAGAAGGGTACAAGGACGGGACCCCAGAAAACCTGGCGTGGCTTTCGTGAAGGAGAAAGAGGATTAGGTGACCTGGTGCCCTCTCCTCTCCCCCCGGGGTGTTTCTCTCTCAGGGACTAGGTTTGGAAAGGTTTTCATTACCTGTCAACAGCAAGCTGGGATCAGGCTGTGTGCATCTCTGCATCTCTGAGAGGCTCCAAACCTCCCACTCAGGAGAGGAGGGGGAGGGCGAGGGGAGGTCAGATCTTACCTGTCATCAAATACCTGTCTTACTGGTCTCTAACACAAGAGTGTCTGGCTTGCCAACTACCTAGACCGTGTTTTAGTTTCCAGATCCGGCTCACAGCATATTTAAATGGATCTTAAATCACTCACTCACTTACCACTCCTGCAATCTCTAAGGCTGCCTGCTGCACGATTGCAGGGACTTTATGCTCCTCAAGACACATATGGATGGGTCCCTCTAGACCTATGGACCAGGGGGTCAAGGGCTGGAGAAAGGAAAGGAATCTCAGACAGATGAGGAGGGAGGCGGGGGTGGGTGGTTGTGGAGCAGTGGGGTGGGGTAGGTGGCGTGTATTGTGGGGGATGAGTGGGGAATGCGGGTGGGGGGTGTGAGTATGTGTATGGGGTACATGAGGGTATATGAGATGTACAGGGTGGGGGACATATGGAGGGATGGTGTGGGGGTTGGGAGGGTTGGGGCGTGCACATGGAGGGAGGGGAGTATAGGAGTACTTGGGGGTTTTGGGGGGAGTGTAAGGCGTGAGGGAGGGAGAATGTGAGGGGATGAGATTTAGGGGCACAGGGGCCATGTGGGGGAGTGGGGCATGCAGGCACAAGGACGAGTGAGGGTGCTGGGCGGATGGGTAAAGGAAGTGCAGGGGTGGGGGGGCAGGATGGGCATATGTAATCTGTAGGGGCATGGGAAGATGAGCCTGTGGGTATTCATCCCAAAGGGATTCGGGGAGCATTGGAATGAAAAGAGGAGATAAATGAGAAGGGGAACAGATGCCCTTCCTTCCCCCAGGGGTTTGCTATCACCCTGGCTAGCTCCAGGACACAGGGCAGGCCTGTTAGACAACCAAACTGGGCACCTGCCCCAGGCCTCACCGACACTAGCCAGAAGCTAGAAACCAGGCAGGGGCTACAGGAGCCTTACTAACTGGGCTCCCTTCCTACTCCCTTCACACCGGGAGGGGAACAGCTGCAGACCCCGGCTCTCCCAGCCTGGTCAGGAGATGAGGAGGAAAAGACAGAACGGAGAAGAACAAACATCGCCTACAACCTGCAGGTGTGGCCAGTGAGTGGCATTAGGGAGTCTGCAGCCCTGCCTTGTGGTCTCAGAGCTTGCTAAGACTCCCCCCACCCCACCCCCAAACCTCAGAACCGGAGCAAGGCAACTCACCTGTCCGCTAGAGAATACGAACACGAGGGCCGCCCCGGCTGCCGTCAGCCCCCAGGTGAAGAAGGTCCCCAGCAACGCCTGGAGCACAGCGCTGTGGCCTTGGAGCATGCTGGATACAGCTGCGTGCAGAGGAGCGAGAGAGGGTCAGCCACGGCCAGTCTCATCCAGTGACGCCCACACGTGCTAAGGAAGGTGTCCCTAACGCCCTCCACCTGGGCTGGCCCATCGTCACTGGCTGGGTGCTCCGCCCCTTAAGCTCTCCCACCTAAGTGCTGACCAGACCTTTGACGGCTCCCCATGGAGGTGCGTGGGGCAGCCCCCTCATGACTTGCCAAGGGCATGCTCCACCAGCCACCATTCAACTAGCCCATGGCCTCTTCAACTGCTACCCCCTGTGTGTCATTTATGGCCCCGTCAACAAATCCCAAATGGCCCTGGCTCCAAGTCACCCTTCACCTGGTTCCCTCCCAGAATGCCTTCCTCCCCGCCTCTCTCCAGGCAGGAGCCAGAGCACATTCTGCTGCCCACCTCATGCCAACTTCGACTCCACGCTTGCCGGACCTCCCCCACACCACCCCCGTCCTCTCCCGCCCCGGCGCACATCTGCGGTGCTTTCTTTGGGGGGGGCTTGCCTCCTTCATCTTATAGATCATTTGTCGAAGAACAGGGATGAAGCCCTTTCACACTTGGCACCCCTATAAAATCGGGCTTCCTGGCATCTAAAGCATACTTGGTGGGGCGCCTGGGTGGCTCAGTGGTTGAGCCTCTGCCTTTGGCTCAGAGTGTGATCCTGGGGTCCTGGGATCGAGTCCCGCATCGGGCTCCCCACCGGGAGCCTGCTTCTCCCTCTGCTGTGTCTCTGCCTCTCTCTGTGGGCCTCTCATGAAGAAATAAAATCCTTTTTAAAAATTAAATAAATAAAAATTAAAAACTCTTGTTGTACTGAAAAGGGGCCACTTACCTGGATAGGACACTCAGCAAGGACAAGGAGACAGAGCCATAATTGGCATTTCCCCGTCAATTGCTGACATGGAACTTATACCACTGCCCACCAGGGGAAGAAAGGGAGGTCCCATTCCCTCTTGGTTGTGCTCAGAGAACCTCCTCTAGACTTTACCACGTTTTAAACTCTAGCTCTGAAATGATAGGGAATCTGACTCTTGCTGTGGAAAGTTACAGGGCAGAGAAATCCACTTGTTGAAAAGCCCTGTGTTCTGGGACACAAACATCAGGCCTCAGAGCCTCATCTCAAAGGGCTCATTCAGCTGCCCACAGGTCTTCCAGCACCCACAGGGCTGGACACGACCCCAGTGGGCTCAGCCCTGCCAGGTCCTAGCGCTCTGTGAGCATCCAGCAATGCCAGGCTTGCAGATCAAGAGCTAAAGAAGCTGATGCTGTTTGATCCTATAAGGAAACCGTGGCAGAAGGTGGACAGGGGGCCCTTATGCCCAGGGGCTCGGCAGCATGGCTAGGATCCCAACCTGGTAAGGCTGTGAGTCTCAGCAAGCCCAGGTGAGCCCAGAGGAGCCCAGGCTCAGCTCTGAAAGCCAGGAAGCCTCCAAGAGAAACAGCATCTGTGGATTGGACTGTGTCTAAATAAAACTCAGGACGGTGACTGTAGCAAATAAAGAAGAAATTATATATATATATATATATAATAACATATATATAATAATAATATATATATATATTTAAAACCCACCCATCTACATACTTCATCTTGTTAAGTCACCCTAAAATGAGTGGTTTGTGTGTATTTGTAAACCAAGACATCTGGATCATTACACCAACCTTCTATTTCTAGCTGCTTGGATGCAATCTGAAATAGAACTTACAAAGAAAGGCATATAGCGATCGTCCTCTTAGTACTTATCATCCAAGACAGGTCATAACAACAACAACAACAACAAAAGACAACTCCCCCCCCCCCCCCCGCCCCAGTATGGAATGTGCCTTTTGACAGCTACGGAAGAGAAGAAGCCATTTACATTTGCCAACAAGCCAAAGTCAACGTGGGGTTTGTGGGCCAGTCAACAAGAGAGCTCTGGGTGTTCCTGGGGGCCAGGGGGAGGGAAAGCCCTATCCTAGCCTGTCTCCGTACACCTGAGGACCCGAGACATAAGGAAAAGGAACAGCAAGGCCATACACATCCTGACCATCCCGAGAATCACAGTACTTATCAGTGATAATGCCAGCCCGGTGCCCCTGCAAGGAGTTTCTTCCATTTGCTATTTTAAATCCTCACTCCTGGAAGGGTGGTCTGCGAACCTGCAGAGCCCCAGTCCCCCTTGGGAGCCGGTGAGAAATGCAGGATCTCAGGTCCTACCCCAGACTTAACTGAATTAGAATCTGCATTTTTTTTCAAGTTCCTTCCACGAGGGATTCTCACGCACATTGGTCGGAAAGCACTGGAACACCTGTACGAGACCCAGAGCTTTGAGACTGAGTTCTCCTACCCTGCGAGGGAGGGATTGGCCAGGCTGAAGCAGAGGCGCAAGAGGAGGGAAACTTTTCTCCCAGAGGTCGACCAGGAGCACCTTGACGGCAGGTGCGCCAGTCGTGGCACCTCGAAATCAGTTTCCGGGATGGGGCTCAGACTTCCTTGTGAGCCGGATGTGAACACACGTAGACCTTGATTATTTTGCAAGAGGCAGGATTATTCCCTGCCCCTCCTCAACTTTAAAGATGCCAACACCACCCCACGTGTGTGCACATCCTGCTCTGGCAGCAGAGGAGGGGCCGCTCACTGATACAGGATTTCTTGCCCTTGTCTCCCTCGCAAACCTGTTGCCCTGCTTCCAAGAGGCAGCCTCCAGATGTTGGTGATGTTGCAGGGGTGGGAAGAGCACCTAAGGAACCTGCACACTCGCGCGCGCGCACACACACACCGACTCCATGCAGAGAATCCAGCAACGGGACTGGGACTTGGGTCTGAGCCACGGGACTGTGGGAAAGTTCCCTAACACCTCGCTGCTCAAAGTGCGGTCCGCGGACCACTGCCCCGGGGGAGGGTTAGCAATGCACAGGCTCAGGCCTGCTGCAGGGTGACAGATTGCCAGTCAAGTCCAAGGGGCCGTGCACTCCCAGCACGAGCGGGAGGGGACGAGGATGGGCTGGAATTGCAGCCACCTCTGCTCCCCGGGGCCCCCGGGGGGGCCCCCCTACACACACACCCCCGGGGGGGATGCACTGAACCTAGAGGATTTGGTGAGCCGGTGTCAAAGGAAGGCAGGTCCTCACCGTCCTGCTGACCCTGGGCAGGGCCGGAGGGGGCTCGGGGCGGCCTCCCCGTCCTCGCCACCTGCCCGGCCGCCCTCCGAGCCCCTCTGCTCCCCCCGGGGTGCCCGCCTCCAAACTCCCTGTTGCCCTTCCAAGTCCCACGCTCTCCTGATGGCCCCAGACCCCGGGCCTCCAGCCCAACCGAGGCGCTGAAGGGAGAAAAAGCTGACTCACTACGGTGCCCTCTCAAGCCCCCACTCCACTTCCATGGGCCCCGCTGCCGCTGGCTCGCCGGGCCGGCTCCACTCCCGAAGTCACTTCCTGCTTGGCGCCCGCACACGTGTCCCTGCCGCCACCAGGCCCCTCCCCGGCCGGCCGCCAGCGGCAGGGCCCGCCTCGAGAATAAATTCTCTGGTTCACAGCCCTCCGCGGGCTCCGGAACGGGTGGGGCGGGTGGAGCGGAGCCCCGAGGCCACGGGGAGCGCCTTCTGCAGGCCCGGGACTCCTGCGAAGCCACAGAGACCCTGGTGAGATCGCCTGGTAACGTCCCTGACATCGTTTCTGTCGCTGCACTTAGCAGCTGAGCCCCAGGCCCTGAGTGAGCTGCAGAGCCCGACGTGTGGGGGTCGGGGGAGCAGGAGCCTCACTCCTATTAGCCTCAGCTGTCAGGGTCAGTGGCCCTAAAAACGACAGCTCCCATGAGAATCACCCACCAGGAGTCAGGTCCACACGCGCAATGTGGGCACCCGCACAGGTTCTGGCTCCGGAAGCCTGGGTGGAGACCGAGATGTTCTGTTCCCAACTAGGATTTGCTAAAAATCCTAGGATTTGCAGATCTCTCTCGGGTCCTTGGACCGCTCTTTGAGAACCACTGCTGCAGGTCAAGGGCTTTGCTCCCTGGGCTTTCTATAAAAAGACCAGAGGGTGGAACTTCTAGATTTAGCCACAAATGAAAACAGGATGCCCAGTCAAATTTGAATTCCAGATAAACGACAAATAGTGTTTGACTGTGTGTCCTGTGCAATATTTGGGACACGCTTAGGCTAAAAACACATTTGCTGTTTGTTGTCGACCAGAAATCCTAATCGAACTGGGTGTCTCATATTTGATCTCATGAACCGCCCGGAGGGTGGCCTGGTCAGAAGAACCGTTCATCATCACAGTGGCCAAAGAGCAGAGGATCCAACAGGAGCTGGCTTCTTCTGCCCAGTAAAAGGCAGCCGCCCACGCTGTGCCGGGAAGTAAGATGGCACGATGACTAGAGGGTGCTCTCTGCCCTCAGGAGATTCGCAGACCAAGAAGACACCCAGACCAACTGTCTGACTCAAGAAAGCACCACAGATCAAGGGGACTTACACAGCAGAGATTTATTTCCGCACAGTTCTAGAAGCTGGAAGTCCAGGATTGGTCCAAGATGAAAGTGCACATTTGGTTTCTGGCTTGCAGACAGCTGTCTTCTCGCTGTCCCCATGTGAAGAAAGAGAGATCTCTCTCCCCTCTTCTTTCTCATCGGGCCGCCAGTCCTACTGCATCGGACCCCATGGCTTCATTTAAGCCTAATTACCTCCAAAAAGCTCTATCTCCAAATGCAGTCATATGGGGGCTGGAGGGGTGGTGAGTAGGGCTTCAACATATGAACTTCATGGGTGGAGCTCTCCTTCGAGGGACCGGTGTCCTTACGAGGAGACCCCGGAGAGCTCCCTCACCCCTTCCACCGTGCAAGGACACATGAGAAGTCTGCGACTCAGAAGAGGCCCCTCAGCCTACCACGTTGACACCCTAATCTGGGATTTCCAGCTTCCAGAACTGCCACTGATACGTATCTGTTGTGTGTGAGCCACCCCGACTGTGGGCTTTTGTTACATCAGCCCCAAAGGGCTGAGACACTCCATGTTACAGATAAGGAGACTGAGTCTCAGGAAAGCTCTGTATTGACATACAGCGTTCACAGGAGAGACTGAACACCCTGGCCAGCAGAGCCTCGGGTGGGCCTCAGGCTGGTGGCCAACCCCCAAGAGACAAATCCTACCATTTCCCTCCTTTCCCTCGATGCACCCTGCACACACATACACACACCACTGACCCAAACATACAAACCGCCTGTCTTTCTCCCATTCCCTCATGGTAAGAAGTGCTCAATAATGTTTCCTTAAAGCTAAGTGCACTGGCTGTTACCTCCAGCCACTTCCCCCTTCCCTAGTCTCTCCCCCAAAGAGCAAATGTGCCCTGCAGCCTTCATAAATGGGGCAGGGGAGGAGGGACAGGGTGTCCAAGAACAGGCCAGAGCGGGCACTAATGAAACAGTGGCAGGGTGTTAGGCAGGCAAGGAGGACGGCTGCCTCCCAAGTGTCATAAGGCCATAAAACTAACTGATGGTGACAGTCAGCAAAGGAATCCCAGGGCAGTGGAATGGTGGCCCTTTCCAGGGGAGTCACTGTGGCTTGATCTGGGTAAGCAAGCTAGCAGCACCTCCCCCTTGGAGCCTGGGGGTGGGTGGAGGTGGGGGTACTGGCACCTGGATCTTTCCCTCTCTCCCCTTTTCTCCGCCCTCCCTCCCCCTCCCGCTCCTCTCTCCCACCCTTGTCTGAGATCTTGGTATCTCTTCGGAGGTCCTATAGATGCTGAGTACAGGCTTTGGAACCTGACAACCTAGAAGGAATCTCAGCTTGGCATAAGAGTTTCCTTGAACAAATTCCCCAGCCCCTGCCAGCCTCAGTCTCCCCAACCTGAGACAGTGACCCCAGCGGAGCCCCCAACACCCAACCAGGCTCCCATCAAGGCAGCCTGAATGACTATGGCCCTCTCTCCTTCCTGCCTGCCTGCCTGCCTTCACTCGATGGTTAGCTCATGAGCCTCTGTGCCAGGCACCCTGTGGGACCCTGGTGCTCCAAGGTCAACTGAGCACCTGGGTCCCCGGGAGTGGAGAGTATTCTGGGTGGGGAGGAGACCCGGGCACACGTCATTGCTGACAACTGCCCAGAGGCCTCGGAAGAAAAGGACCTCAATCTAAAGTCTTGTGATTTCTTCCTCATACTAAAGTAATATTCATTTTAATACCAAAATTTCTATATTTTTTCCTAAAGAGGCCTCTTAAAAGTGCATACACTTTGGAACCCACAAAACCTGATGTGCCCTGGGTGCATATTTAGATATTTCAGCTGGAAAACAAATAGCTTCGTCTGGTAGGCAGAACAGTGAACCCCGTGAAGATGTCCACGTCCTCATCCTTGACACCTGGGAATAGAAACCCCCCACGGAGACAGAGGGTCTTTGTGGCTGTGATGGAATGAAGGATGGGGAGATGGGGAGATAATCCTGGGGTGTGTCCATGGGCCCAGTGTCATCACAGGGGTCCCCATCAGGGGAAAGAGGGAGGTAACAAAGTCAGAGGAGGGAAGGAAGCATGAGGACCTGAACGGAGGTCAGAGCAAGGGATGTCAGTGGCATCTAGAAGCCGGAAAGGCAAGGAAATGGATTCTCCCTTAGAACTTCCAGAAGGAGCACAACCCTGCCAACATCTTGATTTTAGCACTTCTGACATCCAGAACTGTCAGATTATATACTCGTGGTATTTTTTTTAAAAAGCATTTTTTTTTATTTCATTTATGTATTCATGAGAGACACAGGGGTGGGGGAGAGGCAGAGACACAGGAGGAGGGAGAAGCAGGCTCTATGCAGGGAGCCCGACGTGGGACTCGATCCCAGGTCTCCAGGATCACGCCCTGGGCCAAAGGTGGCGCTAAACCGCTGAGCCACCGGGGCTGCCCCATTCGTGGTGTTTTAAGCAGCTAGGTTTGCAGTACCTTGTTTCAGCAGCCCAAGGAAACGAACACACTTCCAGAAGTCTGCCTGGAAGCATCTAGTTTCACTGGTACCTTTGGCACCAGGAACCACCAGGACCGACACTCGGCCCCTGACCACCAACCGTCGTGACTAGGCAGGACAAACCACACAATTTGTGGGGGCCTGGCACAAAATGAAAATGGGAGGCGACTCATTCAAAAGGCAGCAAAAAAAATGCCCTCAAACGTACTAACTAGGGCACCTGGGTGGCTCAGTCGGTTGGGCGTCCGACTCTTGATTTCAGCTCATCTCATACTCTCATGGTCGTGAGATGGAGCCCTACTTTGAGCTCCATCTCCACCATGCTCTCTCTCCCTTTCTCTAAAATAAATAAATAAATCTTTTTTTTAAGTACTAATTAATAAAGCCCTTCTTTTCTTCTGCAAAGTTTCTCTGCTCACTGAGGACTCCAGGGTTCCACCAGATGTTGCTTACAAAACCCCAAGCTCAGAGATGAAATTATTAGGAAACTTCAAGATGGTGACATCAGGGCATTAAAGTAAGCACAGAGCCTTTCCACGCGAGGGACCCCTCACACCTGCACAGGTATCACATCTGTGAAGGTGTCCCCGTCACAGGCACTGGCATGACAGGGCCAGACTGAAGGAGGCCACAATGTCAAAACTAGGAAATCGGGCCAGGGTTGGTTATTCGGCATGAAAAGTGCACAGGGAGATTTGGAGCCAGGATGCTCAGGGTGGAGGCAAAGTGGAGGTGAGAGCCAAAGGTGCTGGTGTAAGCAAGCCAGTCTGGGGAGGAAACAGAGGCAGTCCCAGGAGACTGGGAAGAGGGGCTGGACACCCTGCTGGGGGAACCCGGGGTCTGGGAAGGAGACTTTCCATTCATGGGGGAAGGAAGGACAAGGCGAGGGGAGAAGCAGGCTCGTCTGGGCCATCGGAAGCTAGTGAACCACTATGTGGGGCCCCCATGTTTTCCAGGGGCCTGTGACCTGGTGAAGACCTGAAAACAATACTGGATTATTGGCTCAATAAGAAAAAAAAAAAAAAACACCTGGAAATTTAAATCAATAAGTGTTTAACTAAATGTCCATAAAACCTGTTAATTGTTGACTTAGGTGTTCATAAAAATGTAATGACATTCAAAAAAACAATGGGACGCTTAGCCTTTCTCACTTCAGGAGAATTCCTAAGTATGCACGATAATGGCCAAGGAACCACAGCCAATCGTAAATTAAATAAGCTTAGAGCCAAATAATTTCAAAGGCAAAATTATAAAAATCTTCTTGATCATTTTATGGGGAAACTTAATATGGAATGTGGGAACATTTTAAAGTGCCTGTTGAGATCTCAAAATGCAGGAGACCTTGGGGCACCTGGGTGGTGCTGTCGGTTAAGCATCCTCAGGGTGGTGGGATCCAACTGCTGAGCACAGAGTGTTTTTGAGATTCTCTCTCTCTCTCTAAAAAAAATATATATTTTAAAAAAATAATACAGGAGTTCTTTAGGGGCCTGCAAAGATCCTAAGAGGCCCCAGGGA